GAGTCTGATCTGTGTAGTGAGACCCTGTAGGCCCTGTACCAAATACATTTTTTTAAAAGAGGACCTTTTTTCATAAGCACCTCCCAGGCAAGCACAAGGACCCAAGTTTGATCCCCAGTACCACATGTCATGCCAGCCCCATAACCCCTGGCATGTCATGCCAACCCTGAAACTGGACATGGTGGCGCACACCTGTAATCCTGTGGGGAGGCTGAGACAGGAGGATCACTAGGAGTCCGAACTGTGTAACAAGATCTTGTACTGAAAGAATAAAAAAATATATATAAATAAATAAATGGACCTTTTTTGTGGGGTACCAGGAATCAAACCCACAACCTCATGCTGAACATACAATGTCATGTTTGCTAGCAGGCACTTTGCTGCTGAGCTATATCCCTGGCCCAGTGGCTGCAAATTTTTCAGAAGTGAATGAGACTTATTTTCAGGTCAGCCCTGTCTCAATTCACTGTAGTGAAACTCTGAAAAGTCACAACCATCATGCACAGCTGGGGGAAGGAAATGGTACAACAGTTATGGAAAAACAGTTCGTCCAGTCCCCAGAAAGTTAGCACGGCGTTACTTCCTGACTCCACAAGGCTACTCATTAAGTACTGTCTATACTTCCAAAGCCCTGAAAATAGGTATTTAAGCAAAGCTTAAACACAGTTTTCTACAGAAATACTATTCGTAGTAGATGATAGGTAGAAACAACCCAGTAACACATGCAAGAATAAGCTGAACTGATCTGTCCTACACAGTTATCCAGCTATATTGATCGACAGCACAGCATCGATAAATTTGAGATCATTATGCTAAGTGAAAGAAGGTGGCTGCACAGCGCCTTTTGAAGGAGATCTATTTAGCTTCCTCTTTACTGCATCAGGATACAACAGGAGGACAGCAGCCACTTACAAACAGGAAGGGTCCCCACCAGACCCTGAACCTGCTGGACCCTGACCTTGAAGCCCTGAGTCTCCGGTGCTTCAAGGGAAGAATTTCGGGTGTCTGGGTAACCTGGTCCATGCTACTTTTTCTATGTAGCAGCCCAAACCAGCTGAGCACAGGGTCTTCTGTGTGTGTGTGTGTGTGTGTGTGTGTGTGTGTGTGTGTATGAGAGAGCGAGAGCGAGAGAGAGAGAGAGAGAGAGAGAGAGAGAGAGAGAGAGATTGTGTGTGTATTTTGGAACTAAATGGAGGCAAAGGATACATCACATCATGAATGTATTGAATTGTATACTTTACAATGATTATTTTTCATTCATCTCAATGAAAAAAGAAAACAGATTCCATCATAAAAGTAAAAAGATAGGGCCAGAGAGATGGCTCAGTAAAGTAAGTGCTTGCCTGGCAAGCGCAAGGACCTGAGGTCAATCCCTAATTCTGACAAAAAAAAAGGAAAGTAAAAAGATTATTCACAGAACAGGAGAGAATATTTACAAATCATATATCTAAAAGTACTTGTTTCTTATATATATATGATATATATGTTACATATTATATATATTTATATACATATATATAATATATATATTCCTTATAACCAAATACTCAAAATAACTTAGTTACAGACTGATTAGAGGCTGTAAAGACATTGTATCCCAAAATGACATGTACATGGCCAATAGGCCCAGGAAAACGTTAACATCATCAGTCATTAGAACACTGTAACCCAAAACTACTGCACAATACCGCCCACACCCACTAGAATGGCTGTGAAGCAAAAAGACTGTAAGTGTAAGTGAGGATGTGGCGACACTGAAACCCTTAGGCACTGCGGGTGGGAATGCAGAATAACTCAGCCGCTCTGGAAAATAGTTACTGAACATATTACAGAAATACCACTCCTGTGGAGAAGTGTACGTCCACACATTTGTATATATTTGTGTGTACATATATTGTCGTAGTAAGAACTGCATAGCAAGAAGAGTGCAAAGCAGTCTGAATGTCTGTCACCTAGTAGGTGGCTAGACAAAATATAGTCTGTCCACACAGTGGGGTGCTTCCTGGTAATAAAAAGAAATGATGTTCTGATAAATGCTGCTGTGGGCATGAACCCAAAGTGCACCCTGCTAAGGGAAAGAAGCAAGACACACGAATCTTTTTTTTTTTTGTATTTTAGGGAAGAGTCTACCTGGTGTTCAGTCTCACTACTAGACCAGACTCATAGTGATCTGCCTGTTTACAACCTCCCAAGAGCTGGGATTACAAGCATGCACCACCACACCCAGTCTCAATTGCTGTCTCAGCATGCCCTGGGAGGGGGGCTGGAACGGCAGGCCCAGGGATGGAACTCCCCACCCCTGAACCTGCTTGTGGGTGCTTTAACCTACAAGGAGCCATATTATATGATTTAATTTATGTGAGATGGCCAAATATTTGTAGATAGTATTTTTAGAGATTACTTAGGGCCAGAGGAGAGACAAAGTATAATTGTTTATGGTTATGGAGTTTATTTTTGAGAGCATAAAAATGTTCTAATAGATTTGTTATGACGGTTACAGAGCTCTATGAGTATAACAAAACCATTAAGTCAGACACATTGAACGGGTGAATGTGTGACATGTGAATCATATGTCAGCAAAGCTGTCATGGAAAATAATGGATGAAAAGATCCATATCATAATGGCCATTGCAATAGGTGTATATTATGGAGGGACAAGTTACCGTACAATCTAGTGGCTTAACATAACAAATGACATATCACACAGTTTCTGAGGAGCAGGAATCCTCCCTTGGTGGGTGACTTTGCCGGGTAGCTCAGCCTCCAAGCTTCTGCGGCCATCAGAGGGGACCAAAGGGGTGCTAAGAGGCTTTAGTTCTTTGCCACAAAGAACTAAAGAGACTGTTCCTGACTGAGGGCTGGTGAGGAGCTACGGACAGAGACAACCAAAAGATAGAGAGACAGAGGGAGGAGGGGAGAGGGAGGTAAGACAGTATCATCGTCTTTTATAACTGAGTCTTAGAATCCATATACCTCTACTTCTGCCATATTTTCTTGGTCACACAAGTCAGTCCTGGGACAATAAAAGGCAGTCCTGGCAATAAAAAGAGATGAAGCACTGATGGATACATGCATCCATACCAGGACAAGGGGATCACTGGGGCCATCTTGGGCCAAAATCTGACACCTCCACAACACAGCAACCAATATCCAAACACTGTGGTGGAACTGCACATTTTCTACTAAGGCCTTCTTCCCTTTGCACTGTCAGCAGCACTCCCTCTCCTTTTCAGCTGGGGTCCTGGTTGCCTACACTGAATAATGGCTTCACTTCCTAACCAATCTTTGTAAGTAGGTATTGATATTTGATTAAGGTAGGCCAAAGGGAGCTAAGAGGGGATGATATGATTAATATTTTGGTGTGTTTCTTGAAAGAAAGGAAGGAACGGACCCTTCTAACTGCTCCATCCTGCTGCTGGTAATGTGGGTGTGTCAGCCCAAGGGTCCCTTTGGACCATAAAAGCCAGCGGCTCCAGCCAGGGCTCTCATAGAGCAGAAATCTTGATGCAGCTTGGGTTCTAGAGAAAGGCAGAGATCCTATACTTGATAACCATTCTGGATGGGAGATTCTATCTTGTTTACGGATTTGAATAAGACAGGAATACAAGAGATAGCAAAGATATGTAGAAAAATTCCACCACCCCTTTGAAGGCCTAGAAAGAACTAAGTAAATAGAGGACAGCACTACACCAATGATTGCAAATGCTGAGTACCCTAAACAGGCAGTTGTCTAGAAATTATAAGTTCACTGGATCTTTATGCAAAATTCTGACAATGTTGTAGAGTTAAATAAGTTAACAATAAAATTCATATGCAACAGTAGATGTCTAAGAATGAACCAGAAAATTTGAGGAATAGTAAGGAGGCTGGTTGAAGGAAAGAATGAAAAGGAAAAGAACTCGCCATGTGCCTCATTCCAAAGATTAATTCTTAGGCTACTTCCTTGGGCTTAGCCTTGGTCTTGCCTCTCCTAAGAAAAGGCAGAGATGTAGTAACAGAACATGGAGACCCGGGGGAAGTCTGAATTTATATCCAACTTCTGCTGCCTACTGTATGACCTTAGGCAAGTTATATGACTTTTTTAGTCCCTATTTTTCTTATTTTAATAAAGGGATAAAATGCCCAGTGCAGACCCTAAGGTCATCTCAGATCAAGGTTTTCTTCACTTGTTATGACTACCATTGACACACTAATAAAGCTTCTTTCTGTATATTTTCATAATCATAAAATAACTCTAAAACCATTAGGAAAAGTGCCAGCAAGACAGCTCAGCAGAGTAAGTGCCTGCTTAGGCAAGCACGGGGACTGGGATTCAATCTCAGCACCACAGGCTGCACTGGCTCCACCTCCAGGCGCTGACCCAGCCACCAGGACTGGGTATGGTGGCGCAAACCTGAGTTCCCAGTGCCGGGGAGGCTGAAAACAGGAGGATCACTACAAGTCTGAGCTGCATAGTGAGACCCTGCACCAAATAAATTAAAAAAAAAAAAGCTATTAGGAGAAATCAAGAAAGCCAGAGCTTTAAGACACTACTTAATTCAATGATACGCATGCCTTGCATCCAAAACACTGCGTTTGGGGTTTTTCTTTGCTCTTCGGTCAAAATGTTTTGTCGGCATCTGGGAAATCTTGCTAAATTCCCTTCCAGCGCATCTTAAACACATCTACGGTACTACTAAAATTTCCATTCTGGAAGGGCTTTACTAAGTGTTTTTGTTCTGTGTGCGATGTGTGGCCTCACAGTGGCCAGAGAAATTAAAAGAACATGAGGTTTGGTTCGGTTTCATCATAACCTTTATTGTCAAGGTCCCATATTAGACAAGCATTAGACTGTAGTAAGTGCTCATGAAACTCTTAGATATTAAGAAAAAAACATGTTTGAGGTGAGGAACAGTAGTTTTTGAAAGTAAAATGCAATATGCTTTTGGAATTTTTTTATTTGATGAATGTTCCCAAATACATGATTTCTAAATATTTCTTCTCTGTTTTTCTCCTGCTAGGAAAGGCACCGATGCCCAGACCTGGCTATAAACCTCAGGAGCCCAACGGCTGCAGCTCCTACTTCCTAGGTCTCAAGGTACCAGAAAGTGTATGTACCACCAGTCTTGCATTCTTGGTCGATTCCTGCCAGTATTGACTCTTGGCATAGTCTAAGAGTTCTCAGGGATACCAGTGATGATTTATGGAATTCAATTGAGCAATGTAATTAGGTAGTTTATATTTTGGATCTGTGAAAAGTGAGAAAATTTTCAAAGATGATATTTGATGTCCTAGCTCAGAGGCAGCTGTCCCTCAGATAAATGGATCAAAACTTTGAAGTCACAACTGGGAACACAAGATTTAAGGTATACAAACATAACTTAAAATAGATCTGACAAGTTGACATATTAAATAAGACAATGATGGGAGGGAGCCAGCTGGTGCTGGACAGTGAGAGTTATTATTGCATTGGTCTGACTTCTGCCAATGGCTGTCCTTATGTTGATGGTCACACCAGCTATGTGGAGCATTGTCACCACAGAAGTCTGCAGTCACACCGCAACTGTTTGTCAGATATTTACTAGCAACCACTGGCCCTTTTCCAAACAACCAGCCTGTTCTAAAATGAGTGACAAGATAATTTCCCTCCAGGCTTCTTGGAAGCCTTTTGGTTTTCTTCACTTTAAAAAACAGGTTTCGTTGATTGGCCAAATAGCTCAGTGGATTAAAGCACCTGCAAGTAGGTGCAGGAGCTGGGGGTTCAATCCCTGGGCCTGGTGGGCCTGCTGGGCCTGCTGGGCCAGCCTTGTCCAAAGGGGTGGGGGGTGGCTAGAAAGCAATTGAGACTGAGTGTGGTAGTGCACACCTATAATCCGAGTTCTTGGGAGGCTGTAAACAGGAGGATCACTATGAGTCCAATCTAATAGTGAGACCCTGAACATCCTGTAGACCCTTCCCTAAAATACAAAAAAAAAAAAAAAAGAAAAGAAAGAAAAGAAAAAAAAAAACAGGTTGCATGTAAAATGTAGCTGGAGGGATTTGATATGTAAAATATGACCCCAAATTGTGTCTTAATAAGACTAAACTCCATTTTTCTTTTTTTAAAATTAATTTTATTGAGAAACAAATAGCAATGAGACAGTTTCAAAACAGGTTAGTAGGACAGTTAAAATAATTAATACATTGCATAATGTTGTCTTCATAGTAGTTATTCATAGTATAAGATGCACACATGATATCCTGTCCAAACACTATTAATACAAATCTTTCTTCTCATTGAATTAAGAGAAAGTAGCTGTATATCTATCCTATTTTGTATATGCAGATACAAAATGGTCCTTCATTTGTATCCTTT